GTGTGCGCGCGTTCGTGTGTAGCGTGTCCGTGTATCACACCCAGATTTTACTTTCTTCTTCTTTCTTCATACCTTCTACATGTCTCTATTTCTGTCTGTCGGTCTGTTTGTCTCTCTGTGTGTATATCTGTATGTCTGCCTGCCTGTCTGTTTGCCTGTCTCTCTGTCTGCCTGTCTTTCTGTCTGTCTGTCTGTTTTTTAGAATTTATTTTTATAACCCGCAATAATCTTTTTAAAAAAAAATTTTTTCATATGCATTTGATTAAGATTTGACGAGGCAATTTTTAAATGCCTCTTCTACAGAAGGCAAGTATTTACAATGATAATGCTAGTGTGAGTATTGTATTTTTGTATACATATTTTTCTGTATTCTTTTGTACGCAAATACGTTCGATTATGTATTAGTAGTATTAGTAGGTATTTTGGTACACTCGTACACACACACACACACACACACACACACACACACACACACACACACACACACACACACACGCACTCATATACATTACACACACACACGCACGCACACACACACACACACACACTCATATACATACATTATATACAATATTAAGCAGATCTGTTTCTTTTAATATTAATGTCGTTATTATTAATGTGCTATTGTTTGTTTTATAATTATAATTATTATTGGATTATTATGTGAAATAACTAATTAATTAAATTGTTATTCAACTAATTAATGAATATTGATTTATAAATGTGGATTATTTATACGTTATATATATATATATATATATATATATATATATATATATATATATATATATATATATATATATAGTGACACAGGTGTACATACTTTCGTTCATGTAAAAAAATTGAAAAGACAAACATTAACACACACACACACACAAAATGGGCATCGCTGAATCAGCCTTTTCCATCATCCAGTTCATATCTTTGAAAACGCCCCGAATGTATTAAACTTGGCACCACCCAAGCCTACTCGGTTTTTTGTTTTGTTTATCTTCAACCGGAGTTCCTCAGAGCTTTGCATGTATTAGGACCAATGCTTTTCACTATTTAATACTGGTCCCTTATCTGAGACCTTTAACAATTAGGGCTTATTCTTTCGTTAATATGCCGATGACGCAAGAATAGTATCTGAAATCTCTCACCAAGATATCTCTTCTCAATTAGAGGGGCTTTACATCAAAAAAGGACTGGCATTCATTTAATTTTCTTCAACTAAATGCCCAATGCACACCGCAGCAACTCACGAAATGCTCTTCACCTTTCAACTTGCCAATCGTTGGATAAAATGAATAATAGTAATAAATCAGCTCTTGCCGGCTAATGAAGGCTTTTCATATTGCTCGCCACCATCAATATGGTGGCGAGCAGTCTGCCACTCATCAGTCTGCCACTCACCATTCGTCAACAATCACCAAAAGAAATGTTTAAGACGCCATTGAAACTGCATCTCTTCGAGCTGGCCCTGCTGACGTTTTTATGTTTTATTATTTTCTACCTTAAGGGGAAGGATAGATTATTATTATTATTATTATTATTATTATTATTATTATTATTATTACCACCACCACCACTGCTACTACTCTACTACTACTACTACTACTACTACTACTACTACTACTACTACTACTACTACTACTACTACTGCTACATACAATTCTGCTGTTGGTTGTTGGTGTAATAGTGGTGAAAATACTACAATTACACACGCACACACACAAACACACAGACACACGCTCACGTCTGTCTAAGCCTGGTAAGTACGAATCGATACATTATATAGTTCACATCGTTTATTCGATTTTTTTAAAAATCGTGTTGCTGTTTTTAGATTTATTTTAGAGTTTTAATTTAATTTTTTCATTCATTCGTTCGTTCATCCATTCATTCATTCATTCATTCATTCATTCATTCATTCATTCATTTATTTATTCATTCATTTATTCCTCTGAGAATTTAATTTCATTCAAACGCAATGCTCTAGGTTTATTTTTCAATAAGTTTTTGTAGGAATTTGTGTGTATGTGTTTGTATATGTGTGTATGCTGTATGTGTGTTTAAGTGTGTTGTACATATGTATGTCTGTGTGTATATGTCTGTATATACTATGTATGGTATTTATGGTGTTGTTCGTGTGCGTGTGTGCGTGTTGAGACGTTTATAATAACCTAAGTTGTAAGATTGATGTGTTTTTCAAATGCAAAAATTACGTCACAACTACGTCATAATTTTTTGCCCTATACGTTTCAGTTAAACTTATTATGTTTCACCGTTTGAATAAACAATTTATTATTTAATTTATAAATAAATTAATTGATTAATTGATTGATTAATTAATTAATTAATTATTGACCATGTATACGACTGCTATATTTTTTTAAACATTGTTTCATTGCTGTTACAAATGTCATTTCATCGGCTTTATTGTTTTTTATTTATACTATTTATTATCGTCAATTATGTTTCTATGTTTTTATTTATCGATGTATGAGTAGATGCATGATGACGTATTATCGTATTATCACCTATTATCGTTCTTTTTTCCGATTTTTTTATCATTTTAAAAGTGTAAATTCAATTTATTTTATATTGTTTATTTATTTATTGATTAACTTTTAATTATCTCGTTAATTTGTTGATCGTGTTTTTTTAAATATAAATACTTGATGTATCATATAATCCGCTGCCTTGGTTTGTTCATTAAAAGATTTCAACAAAAAAATTCTTCTTGAACAAGATTTAACCAACAAAATATTACAAAATGTTTGTTATTATTTAACGCCTAATCTTTTATCATTTTATAAACTTAGAGTAAAGTTTTTTTGGTTACATTGATGAGTATCCGTAATCTGTGAAGCTTTTCCTATAAAAAAAAATAGTTATGAGAATACCATACTATACCATACTATGTCATACCCTGCCATTCAATACCATAAGATATAGTATCCTATTTTATGACATAATCTTAAAGCCTTATCCTAATTCAATTCAGTTGCGTGCAGTTTCAAATCCTAAAACCATAATAACCTTGTACAAACACAACTATTCAGGCTGCTAGTAAAAGACATTTTTGAGGCAATCCGTTGTTTATACCAGTATCTGAATTTTTTCTAACATTTTATGCCCTTCCTCATTTTATTGTGTTTGGACTATTACTTGAATTCACTCTTCACAGTGAATCTGCTAGATAGGCAACAAAACTTTTTTTTTTTTAATCAATCGCTATTAAATGATGTCGGTATCTTAAGAAAAGTTCTTGAATTCTCTCAAACTGGGGTGTTGCATTGTTTAAAAAATTAATTTTAGAAAAAACATTCAACGAATATTAAACTTTACCATTTACATATATTTCTTTTTAAATCTATAAAGCCTTACACTGTACAAATTTATTTTAATAGTTATATAGCTAGAACTTAAGCGTGAAAGGAATGTTGAATTGTGACATCTCTCGGATAAAATAAAAATGTTAGGATGATCTGGGAAACAATTAAAATGACACAAAAATCGGATTATAAATAATTTTCCATCAAGAAAATTTTTTTCGGTGAGACATTTAGCAGAGAATATCAAAGATTTTGATAGTTGTAACGATTAAATTATGAAATTTTGATTATATTTAAATAAATAAACAATAAATACATGTCGTTTTCCTGTGTGTCCGTTCTCATATGTACGCTGTGTATATGTGAGTTTGTGTGCGTGTGTGTATGTGTGTGTGTGTATGTGTGTGTGTGTGTGTGTGTGCGTGCGCGTGTGGTTGTTGATACCAGACTGAGACAAGTTGTTAAGAAAGTATGAATGACCTTTAACCTTTGACCTTCATTATATTATTAAAAATAATATAATGGTTATAATAAGTATAATTTTTATAATTAGAAGAATAAATATCGGTTGAAAAAATGTTATTAAGCACCCTAGTAAAGTTGAATGTGTCTCTAGCAAAAATTTAGATAATTCTCCATCACCGGCGGATGATGATGATGGTAATGATGATGATGATGATGGTGATGGTAATAATGATGATGGTAATGACGATGATGATGGTGGTGGTGGTGATGCTGACAATGAGTATGCGTGATCGTTGATGAATAATGAAATGATTAATAATTAATAATAATCTTCTAATGACGTAACATTGTCACGTGACTTCTGACGATGCATAATGACGCCATTTACATTATTATTATTATTATTATTATTATTATTATTATTATTATTATTATTATTATTATTGTTTTTGTTGTTGTTGTTGCTGCTGTTGTTTGTCAGTTCGTTATTTGTCACCAGAGGATTGTTGAACTTAATTTGTTGTTGTTGTTGTTGTTGAAAGGTGTTGTTGTGGTTGTGGTAGTTGGTGGTCGTCGCCAGTGTCGTTGACGTTTTGTTGTTGTCGAGCGTCAGACGCGAGTTGTAGAAATTCTAAAAGGGGTTACGAGGTCATATAATTGAATGACGTCATAATATAATTATTAAATTATTATAAATGATGATAAAATTATTATCATTATTATTATTATTACACTACTCACGTGATTACTGCTCCAATGCCATGGTGCCCAATACCATGGTATTCTATCTCTGTTCTGATTGGATGTTTGAATGGCACGGTATGTATGGAGCGTTTTGATTGGTAAATCATACCACATCACCACTATCGACATCCTCATTAATACCATTCATCATCGTCACCAGCAACAAAAACATCATCATCGTTATCATCATCATCAACATCATCATCCTCATCATCATCATCATCAACATCATCATCATCTTCCTCCTCCCCATCATCATCGTAATTTTACACTCACCTCGTTAAGTTCAGTGGAGGAGCGCGAAAAATTTTGATGACGATGATGATGATGATGATGACGTATGTAATCACTATCAGGACCACCGACCTCATCGTCATCGTCGTCACCACCACCACCGCCGCTGCTGCTGTCGCGAGAATTTTTTTCTTTGAAGTTGTTCAAATTGAAAACCGCCTGTCAAAAGTGTCAAAATAAGTGACTGAATGTATAAATGGATGAGTGATTGAATGCATAAATAAACGAATGAATGAATGAATGAATTGATGAATGAGTGAATGAACAGTGAGTTTATGACCAACAAAACTCCGGGAATTGAACCTGGTTAAAACAATTGAAGCAGTAGAAGTACAGCAAGACTGAAATTTATTGCTGAAAATGGTGAACAAGTTGGTTTCGGAATATAAAAAATTAATCAGGAAGCGGCTTTGGATAACAAATGAAGTACAGAAGAGAGGACAAGCTAAATACAAGGCATGGAAGGTATATCAAGAGTTCAAAAACCGTGAATGTAGCAGGCCAGCTAACTCAAGAGAATCAATTCGAATGCAGCAGATAAAAAACAAATACAAACAGAAAAGATAGGATTGCTGGTTGGGAGGCCATTAAAAATTATGAGACAAAATTAGCAGATAACTAAAATGATAAATGAAAATAAATAAGTAAATAAATAAATAATAATAAATGAATATATATATATATATATATAAATAAATATATTATAATAAATAAATAAATATAAATAATTAAATATATTATAATAAATAAATAAATATAAATAATTAAATATATTATAATAAATAAATATAAATAATTAAATATATTATAATAAATAAATAAGTTTTTTTAGCCACGTTCTGAGTAGGCAAAAACACAAAGACAGGATAGGACCCCATCGAACTGAGAAGAGTGTCGTTACTGAGGGCCACTAAATAATGTCGGATTTAAAATGAGGATTTTTAAGGTTTTTTTTTATCAGGTTACCAAGGTGCCCAGTTATTCATTTCTTTCTTCCTTAAACCAGTTAACTCCATGCACCTCCATTCACCAATATCTAAACAGATTAATATCTAAAAATCTCATTTTAGTTCTGTATTTATAAGGGAGATTTTTACATCTCTGCCAAGACCCAGCAGTAACTTTAATGGAATTGAAATGATTGTGTTGGATGATGTGACAACTACGAAGCAAGAACTAAAAGAAAATAAGAGCCTCGTAAGCAACAGCCTCAATCTAGCATTTCTGAAAAATATGAGAAAAAGTGAAGAAACTAATGAAAATAAATACAACGAACGAACAAACAAACAAACGAAGATAAACAAACAAACGAACGAACAAACAAACAAACAAACAAACAAACAAACAAACAAACAAACAAACAAACAAACAAACAAACAACCAAACAAACAAACAACCAAACAAACAAACAATCAACCAATCAACCAACCAACCAAACAAACAAACAAACAAACAAAACCCTTTCTCACCAAGTAAACCGCCACGATGGTCCCCCAGCCAAAGCCCACCACCACATCCGTCCAGTGGTTGAATAGAAGGGCGAACCTCTGCAGACAGCACAGCAGGGACATCATTACGATGGAGAGTGCCAAAAATGGTCCGATTATCCGACATTTTAGATCGTGGCTTACTATTCTCTGGATGTATATCTGGCAGATGATGATGATGATGATGACGAAGAGAATGATGATGATGATGATGATTATGATGACGACGATGATGATGATGATGGTGGTGGTGTTGATGATGATGATGTAGATGGTGGTGTTGATGATGATGTAGATGGTGGTGGTGTTGTTGATGATGATGGTGGTGGTGGTGGTAGTGTTGATGATGATGATGGTGGTGTTGATGATGGTGATGGAAATTGTGGTGGTGTTGCTGATTATGATGTTGCAAGTTATGATGATAATGATTTTATATTTTTTTACCACTTACAGCCGTGAAGACAGACGAGAAGGATGTGATAGAGGCGTGGAAGGAAGGAAAGGATTTGCTGAATGAATGAATGAATGAATGAATAAATGAATGAATGAATGAATGAATGAATGAATGAATGAATGAATGAATGAATGAATGAATGAATGAATGAATGAATGAACGGATGGTTAAATGGATGAGTGAAGGCAAAAGATAAACGCTTGGTTTCATTATTAATCACGTTCATTTCATCCACTATCGATAATATTGGTTTTATAATTTTACAAAATGTTCAAAGCTTCATCCTACGTCCAAATCCTATTCATCATCATCATCATCATCCGCAACACATCATCGTCATCATCATCATCACCATCACCCCATCACCATCATCAGCAGCAACGAATCATCGTCATCGTCATCATCATCACCCCATCATCAACACATAACCGTCATCATCATCATCACCATCATCATCATCATCATCATCATCATCACCATCATCATCATCATCATCATCACCTCGCCCAAGCCATCACGCTGGCATCCTTATTGCCACAGGCCGAATCCGGGTCACACATGGTCAGACTCGAGTTGGGGTACAAATTTAAATTGTAGCAAGCTGATTGGTTGAGCTGGCAGACCTCCAGAAAAACAGGTCGAGGTCGACCAATCATAAACTTGCTGACGTCATTGAATATCATCGTTATCAGGATGCCCATTAGAAATGTACCTGGTCAGTTAATTTGTTATACATGTATTTATCCATTCCTTCATTCAATCATTTCTTCATTCATTTATTTAATCATTCATTCATTCATTCATCCATCCATCCATTCATTCATTCAATCATTCATTCATTTCATCAGTGGCTACCAATGAATCTGAACATTCTACGGGTGGGTATGAAGAGGTGGCAGACGAGGCACGCCCCTGAGACGGTCATACTATTTCTGTTGTTGCATTTTCTACATTGGATCAATTCTCCAATCAATATCTGAGGTGCGTGTGTGCGTGTGTATGATTGTGTGTGTGTGTGTGCGTGTGTATGATTGTGTGTGTGTATGGGTGTGCGTGAGTGCGTGTGAGATAGAAAAATAAAATTGCTTGCTGATATAGTTCAAACCCGGACGCGCGGAACCTTGCGCCGACCACACACACACACACACACACACACCACACGTCACAGGCCACTTACAACAGCGGGCGGCAAACAGAACGACAGGACCACCACGACCACTTCTGAAACTTGACCTTTGTAATCGAACCCGGCCATGGCCTTGAGACCTTGCTCCCTGCGGTAACTTATCGAGGGGTCATCCGGTTGAAATGGGGTCATACGACGCGGGAACCGATCACCGATTCTGTGATTATTTATGTCAAGTTAGGCAAGTTTAATTAGGTCAAGTTAAATATAATTAATTGGGTCAAGTCAATTCTTTTTGGTCAAGGGATATCATTTTTTGAATATATGGAGTTTATGTTGAGACATGCAGGGCCTACGTTTGCATTTGAAGACGGTCACTGCAGCTGCAAGATCAGTCGCCTCAACCACTACACCACCATGCCACCAAAAAATATGCAGCTACATTTCACTAGAGATCGCAATTTATGAGAATCTCTAAGAAGTTGTAACACGCTATCAATGTGAACACATTACACAAAACACGAGATGAATGAATAACACAAATATTAAATCATACTACTACTACAACTACTACTATTACTACGACTACTCTTACGACTACAACAACAACAACAACTACAACAACAACAACTACTACTACTACTGCTGCTGCTACTACTACTACTACTACTACTACTACTACTACTACTACTACTAACACTACTAACACTACTACTACTACTACTAATACAACAACAACAACAACTACTACTACTATTACTACTACGACTACTACTACAACAACAACAACAACAACTACTACTACTACTACTACTACCGCTACCACTACTACTACAACTACCACTACAACAACAACCACAACTACCACTACCACTACAACTACTACCTCTACTACTACTGCAGCTAGTACTACTACTGCTGCTGCTGTCGCTACTGCTGTTGCTACAGCAACTATTACTACTACTACTACTAGCCTGATGTAATATCCAAGAGTAGCTAGAAATATAAGCACACAGACATCCAGCACAAGAACAACAAGAACTCTGATACGTTGAGTGTCGGCATAGGCTGTGGAGCGAGGAAGGATCTCCATGCTGTAGTGGTAGTTGTAGTAGTGGTAGTAGTGGTAGTGGTGGTAGTAGTAGTAGTAGTAGTAGTAGTAGTAGTGGTAGTAGTAGTAGTAGTGGTGGTAGTAGTGGTAGTAGTAGTAGTAGTGGTGGTAGTAGTGGTAGTAGTAGTAGTAGAAGTAGTAGTAGTAATAGTAGTAGTTTTTCTTTTGGGGAGTAGTAGCAGTAGTTGTAGTAGTAGTGTTAGCAGTAGTAGTAGTGTTAGCAGTAGTAGTAGTAGTAGTAGTAGTAGTAGTAGTAGTAGTAGAAGTAGTAGTAGTAGTAGTAGTAGTAGTAGTTATTGTTGTTGTCGTTGGTCTTTGCTGTAGTCGATCAAACTGTTGTTATTTTTATATTATTGTCATTGCTATCCTTGGCATTTTTTTTCATATTTTTATTGCTATTTTTACAGATACCCGATTTTTAAATTAAGTAATTAATTAAATAACCCACGGTTTAATTAATGTGATTAATGTGATTTAATGTCACGTTAATAACAATGTAACGTTAAGTGATAGAAGTATCTGACTAACTTACGATGATTTAACCTAACATGAACAGGTATCGTAACATGATACAAGTATCGTAAGATGATACATAAATCGTAATGTTAATCAAAATTACATAAACATGATACAACTATCGTAACATGATACAACTACCCTAACATGATACAACTATTGTAACATGATACAACTATTCTTACATGATACAACTATTGTAACATGATACAAATATAGTAATGTTACCCAATGCCGTATAAACTAAATAGAAACTATGTATTTTAGTACATTAAGTATTGTACTTCAAAGTTTTTTAATCCAACTCTATGTACAGGATTGTGCGATGGAGTTTTTTTTATTTCTATATAACTCGACGACGACAAATGTTAAAACGTTACTGATGTGATTAAATGTAATGTAATTCGCTCTCTAATGTAATCTTTCCTTCAGTAATGTAATTAATGTAACTAATTTAATGTAATTTAATGTAACAACATGCAGTAACGAGTATAAACAAACGTTGGTCGAACTGTGAAACGAATGTTGTCTACAATTGAACAAAAAACTCACCGACACCAACAGCATTTAACAGTTGTGCAATTGCTTAAGAGAGAGAGAGAGAGAGAGAGAGAGAGAAAGAGAGAGAGAGAGAGAGAGAGAGACAAAGAAACAGAGACAGAGATAGAGACAGACAGAGAGAAACAGAGAGGGACAGAGAGAAAAAGAGAAAGAAGAGAAAAATGTAGAAAATAAATAACACAGATAAAGAAAAAGTGAAACATATACAAAAAAACAGAAGAAAAAAGAATAAGGAAGTAAGAGAGAGAGAGAGAGAAAGAGAGAGAAATAAAGATAAGTAGCAAAGAGAGAGAGAGATAGAGAGAGAGAGAGAGAGAGAGAGAGAGAGAGAGAGAGGAAGAGTTATGAACAAAGTATTTGTTGTTATGAATTCACCTTGCGTTTTATTGATTACTTCTACCTTTGCAACGTACGAGTGGATGTAGTGTGCACCGGCTACATGTGTGTATGTTGGTATGTGTGTGTGTGTGTGAGTTTGTTCGCTTGTTTGTATGTGTAAAAGTCTCCGTGTGTGAGTGTGCGAGTACGTGTGTGTACGTGTATTTGTTTTACTTGTATATATTTGTATATGTTGGAATGTTTAAAAATAGGAATGTTTAAAAATAGGTTGGTCTTTTAGCAGGTTATTTTTCCCATGTTTTACGGTTTTTTGTTTGAATCCTGCGGCTGCAGTTGTTACAGCTATTGATTGTATCCTAGATACAAATTTATTAATAAATCACATGTTGCACTGTGTCGCGTCGTGTGTGTGTCATGTGGTGTGTGGTGCGGTGTGTGTATGTGTGGTGTGTGTGTGTGTATGTGTGTCTGTGTGTTGAGTGGTGTGGTGTGTGTTGTGCTGTGTGGTGCGTGTTTTATTTAGGTACATCCAAGTAAAAAAGTATATTTTGATATTCTAACAAAATGTATATTTGATTGGGCCAAAAACTTTTATGAATGATCGAATGGATGAATGAATGAATGAATGAATGAATAAATGAACAAATAAGCAAATAAACAAGAGAACGAATGTACAGCCGAACGAATGACTTTTTGTTTGCTTATAGCCCAAATTTTTGTCAAATCTTCAATTAAAAACAACGTTTTTCAGACATGATAACAAAACTTTTGCTGATAATTGCCCAATTTTGTAAACCAATCTAACAAATTCTCCATCCACTGGTTGTGAATACTAGATGAATTACATTCCGTCACTCATTCTATTTCCATGGAGGTTCTGAGAGGAGATGGAGGCGAGAGAGTCTGTGTAGTTTTACCAAGTTGGTGAGTTAGTCTTAAAAAAGTTTAAATCTAATTAATTAAATTTTTGTTACGGTTATAATTGGTATAATTATTATTCATGCGGTTTTTTCTCTATCTTTCTCATTCAGTCAATCATTCATTCATTCATTCATCCGTTCATTTATTCCTCCATTCATACATTCATTCATTCCTTAATTCATTCATTCATCCATTCATTCATTTATTAATTCATCCATTCTCTCCTTTTTATTCTCTCTCTTTTCCCCCTACTCCTTCTCTCTCTCTCTTTCTCACTAACTCATCTTCCTAGCCCTCCTCCTCAGAACCATCCACATTATCATCTTCCTCCTCCTCTCTTCCGCCTTCTTCTTCTTCCTGTCGCTAACGACGACCACAGTTGCCATGATGACGACGGCCACAAGAATAGCAGCCAGAGAAAAGCCGAGGATAATTGCATCCTTGTGATGCAACAGGAAGTGGTAGCTCTGATCCGTCTGATCCGTGTTCAGGAGAGTCGATTTTGTTGTGGGTTCTGGTTTTGTTTGGGTGAAAGAGAAAAAAAAAGAGAGAGAGAGAGAGAGAGAAAAAGAGAGAGGAAAGAGAGAGAGAGAGAGAATATATTGCTTATGTAGTGTTGATATTTTGGACGTGTGTTTTTTTAACTTAATTTAAATGTAATGATGTTTCAGAAAAACATTTGTACAAAATCTCTGAATATAAATGAGAGAGAGTGATAGAGAGAGAGAGAAAAAGAAGAAGAGTAAAAGAAAATGTTGGGCTTTAAAAAATTAAAAAAAATATTGGTCATTTAAATGTAAGGAATGTCGTTTTATTAATTAATTGGTTTATTAATTAATAATATAATTGACCAGCCAACCAATCAGCCAACAAATAATTTGATCAATCAACCATACATTCGACCAATCAATCAATTAATTAATCAATCAATCAATAATTCAAGTATTTATTGAATCAATTAACCAACAAACCGAATGCATTTTTCTTTTTCGTGATCACGTGTCCAAAATGGCTCTGACATTCAACAGTGACGTCACCGTCGGATTTCACTTTTACACAACTTGAATTCAAATCACAATTTCCGTTGTTTTGCTTACAATCTGAAGAAATTGTGGTCGAGTTGGCGACGAACTTGATGATAATGATGACTCACTCATTCACTCATTCATTCATTCGTTCGTTCGTTCGTTCATTCATTCGCTCATTCATTCGTTCGTTCGTTTGTTCGTTCATTCATTTATTTGTTCGTTCGTTTGTTTGTTCGTTCATTCATTCATATTTTATTTTATCGAGCGCTCAATAATTAATTCATCTTGCAGTCAGTCACTCATTCATTCATTCATTACTTATTCATCCGTCCATCCATCATTCTACCTTCACCCACCTCTGACGTCACACATTGGGCCAGACCACCCGGAAAAACACAGACCTCCTAATTCATTTATTCTTTCATTCTTTCCATCATTTGTTTCTTTTATTTTTTTTTCTTCATTCATTTCTTTTGTAGAATTTTCTACATTCTTTTCATCCCTCCGGTTCAGTTGGAAGTGCATTAGAGTGCCGGGCTCAATGCTGTATATGCTCCAAGCTTTGAAAATGTGTGAATGAATGAATGAGTGAAAAAGAAAGAATGATTAAGTGAGATGAATGATTGAATGATTGAATAAGTAAGATGACAATAAGTGAATGAGTGAACGAAGGAGGGAATGAATGAAAGAAAGAAACGATTGTCATTCTTTCAATTTCATCAGCGTTGAAGTTATCATCACCAGCATCATCATCATCATCATCATCGTCGTCATCGTTATCATCATCATCATCACTACCAGTATATAGTGAGTAATACGATGTTCCTCCACAGCTTTTCACATTATCATCATCGTCATCATCGTCGTCGTCATCACATTTTAACGGGCACATATTGATAGGCAGCTGGTCCTTGAAGTCCAGTAAGCTACCACAAGCACATTGCGTGTGGTTCTGGTGATGATGATGTAGGTTGTGATGATGATGATGATGTAGGTTGTGATGATGATGATGTAGGTTGTGATGATGATGATGCTGTGAGTTGTGATGATGATGATGCTGTGAGTTGTGATGATGATGATGCTGTGAGTTGTGATGATGATGATGCTGTGAGTTGTGATGATGATGATGTTGGTGATAACGATGATGGCGATGAATATTATACGGCTGATTAAAAGAGTAATGATATAGAAGATGATGAGATGATATTTATTGTTGATAATTATTACTCAAAATTATCTTTCGAAATTATTATTCATAATTATTATTTATTTATTTATTGTT